GCTACAGCTTAACTAGCATTGTAAAACATATATCTTCGCGTTATCAACATTGTGTTCGATAATCATCATATTCTAGTGTCTATTATGGTATTTGTACCAGACTAGGCACTTATGTGGCGTTTTACTCTCAAATAGTTGAGTACAGCAATATTGCAACATTTATGATCATTGATATTAAATAAAGCTGTGTGTAAATCATGCAACACTATTAACGTGTTCTCTTCATCATTAACTGGATTCATCAATCATCGAGTAGCAAATAATTAAAAGGATACCAAGCTTGTGACTTATATAAGTAGTATTAACTTCAAATATTGAACAACTATAAGCTAACTATAACCATTCATACCTTGTGAGGATACATTAAATGAGGAATAGCATCTCTTTGAATATGCCGCATAACACGCAATGGAGGTTCATTGAAAAATGTCGGTTCACCGTCAACCATTTCTATGAGTAAAACACCCATTGACCATACATCAACTGAGGTGTTATAAGGTAAACGACTGATCACTTCAGGTGACATCCAATATGGTGTTCCTACAAGACTACGCCTTCGTGGATGATCAGGAGAAACCTTGAAATGAATAAAAATAAAATAGACAGATTTTTAAAATGACTGGGCAGAGTTAATTACTGAACATCAGTTCTTCATCAATAACGAAACGTCTTGAGCATTTTATCGATAGAGTAATTCGTACAGCTGTATAAAACCTAGTGGCTTCTAATTCACAGCTGCTTCAAATAACAGGATGAAATGTTTATTCGCCAGTATTAACAAGAATGATCAACTGGAGAGAATTGTATTTTCATTTAAATCTACAGTGGTTCGATGGTTAGGCGTTCGCGCAAAATATCGGAGGTCCCGGGTTCGAATCCTGTGAGGAGCAAGAGTCGTGCACGCGCACTGCCACTGATGAGTCCCATACCAGGACGAAACGGCCGTCTTTCAGTGCTTTCAGGTTTCTAATAGTGGTGGTCTAACAATGATTGATTGATGATTTCAAATGTGTAAAAAACATTCAAACAGTTGGTTTTTGAAAGAAGCCCAAACTAGGACTTAACAACTCTCGATGGTTCCTTGGTTTATACTGATAGTCTAGATAAGATGATTACGTGATTCAAAATATGAACATTTTCTTGACTACTTTGGTAAATGCCTATCTATCGATAGTTAAATCAAATATATTAAACAGACAGAACGTAAACGGGAATTTAGTTAGGTTCTAGGTAATGTTTTAGTAGTTATATACTTTCATATCATAACTTACTCTTGCACAAAATCCAAAATCAGAAAGTTTTACGCGTCCATTGATTGATAATAAAATAGAATCCGACTTGATATCTCTGTGAATAATACCATGATCATGAAGAAATGCCAATGCACGAAGAACATCACGACAGACAGTGGCTATTTGTTTCTCTGACATTCTACAATACATAGGAAGTTATTTACCGAAAAAGTGTTTTAATTTTTAAAGACGAAGACATTCATATATATTCATAATTTTATTCAAACAACCAGTATAGTGAACATAGGGGCAGAGTTTTGGAGGTTTGTGTTTTTACGCAGTTGAAATTATCAATCAATCATTGTTAGACCACCATTAGAAACCTAGAAGCACTGGACGGCCGTTTCGTCCTGGTATGGGACTCATCTGCAGTGCGCAACCACGACTACTGCACCTCGCAGGATTCGAACCCGGGACCTTAGGTGTTGTACGCGAACGCCTAACCATCGGACCACTGAGCTGGCCGGCATCTAACGGTGTTAATGTCTAACTCTGATTGATCTAGCGATTTTACGCGACTTCACTCATTTGTCTTTGATAGTTACTGCCTACACCACACAGGGTTGAACTCCATTGGTCACTGATAAGAATAAAACAATTTCATAATATTTCGACACCATTAGCAACAATCTACTGTGGGAGAGAACAAACCAGATTCCAGAGGAGGAGGAAATCAGGAAGAAGCGATGGAAGTGGATAGGACACACACTGCGGAAAGAACTCAACTGTGTCACAAGACAAGCCCTCACTTGGAACCCTCAAGGTAAAAGGGAAAGAGGAAGGCCAAGGAACACAATAAGCCGAAAAATGAAGTGGTAACCGAATTCCAGGAGAGAGTACGCTGGAGAATACTGGTCGGCTGCCTATGCTCCATTGGAGGTAACAGGTGTAAGTAAGTAAGTAAGTATAATACTTGTAATGCATTTCAAGAAACCTGACGCACACTGTACACGATGCAAGAAGGTCAGCATTTTCAGAATGCAATGAATTCGTCAATATTTAGTCGCTTTTAGTTCAAAAACATACAAGCTAGTTTTGTGAATAATGTCATTCTCGCTTTGTCTGAATTTGTGAAAAAAAACCAACTGTATGAAATATGAGACAGTTTAAATATTGACGAAATTGATATCTGTATTAGGTCACAGTGTATTGGATGTATTTCAGTGGATCAAAATTTGTGTTATTCAGTGACATCGTCCATGACCTACACACTGGGTTATCCTGGCTCGAATCCTATAATGAAATATCAATACCCTGAAGAAATTTTCAAGTATCTTACTTAGAAATATGTAGTGTAGTACCAAGATCAGGGTTCACAGCTACGTACAAATTGTCCTTTCACGTAAGTTTAAACAAAATGATTTGCATAAACTCAGCGAGTTCTTAACTTGTACAATGGAATTTACTTAGCTTTAATAAATAAAATTGCATCCCTTTTCATATATATAGCGAACGATTAGAGATCATTATCAGAAGGTAATCTAAAATCAATAAAACGCCAGCTTTCTCTTTGAATCAATACTTTTCAATCCTTTACTAATTAAAGCACGCTTATCTAATTTGCTTGAAAACTAAACGTCAATAGATTTCTACCGCTCTAAAATTAACAAATGAATATTTATTGGCTAATTGAATTGGTTTTTAAGTAGAAATATATGAAAAATACGGAAGCTTGAAATAGTAGATGATGCATTTTGTTCAATGTGTCTATGTTACGCCTGCACGTAAACACGTCATTTTCATATGCTTGAACTATTACGAGTTTACCTTAGTCGGAAAACGAGAGCGAGGATCGAGGATCCGGCGACACCACATACTACTCAAATCCAATTATCCCAGCCCCCATATTGAGTACAAAAATAAGAAGACATGATATGAAGTAGAACCAGTATTCTACAAGCATCCAGAAAGTACAAGGTCCGAATCCAGAAGAGAATCAGGATCCTGGACTAGGGATTTGGGACTGGGTCCTGGTCCTGGTCATAAAACGTTACAGATCATGCATATATATACATATATATATATATACATATATATATGCATATATATTCTAGTCGAATAGGAAACAGCATCGAAGTCTGTGACATTGACAGTTAAGACGACCAATAGGAAGTAATATTTGAAGTGACACTGATAATCAGGACAACCAATAAGAAACAACATTGGAGCACGTGACATTGATATCTAGGACGACCATAAAATTGACCAGTAGGAATTAACCAATAGGAATTGACCAATAATTCTCCTAGGATATTGGATAAATATCCTAACAGTCTCTAAATATTATGATAAAACTGTAGTAATATACTTTTACGTAGAGAACACAATTTCTGAAATGGGAACATTTCTTATTGTACTTAAAATTCTGCCAATAATTGTTCTGCTGTACTCCTTTTTGTTTAACTATACTAAATAAAGATCATAACCCGCTCGCCAATCATGTTACTGCCATTCCGCGTTTCTCCTCGGTGGTTGTTAGCTGCTTCTTCATTCCAGTCTTGATATCATTTCAATATCACACAAGACCACAAATCAATACATCTCTTCATCCAACAGGATTTTACTTGGTAACCTCGTGAATAGTAGTTCCAATCTCACTACAAAACTATTGTAGTGAAGGAGAACACAGGTGGGGCAACCGAATTGTATTTAACGAAAATTACAGAGTTACTCAGTAAAATCGGAAAACCATATCGTAAATCGTTCATTTGCAAAATATCAGTTCATCATATCGAACTGGACTGTTCCTGTTGCAAACAACATCAATCGATTGTCACTATTCATGCGTTTCATACAAATTCCATTGTGTTCTAACTGTTCCTTTCTTGATCTTCCCCCATCTTCTGCTGCCAGACATTACGCTGACTGTCACTCACGTCATATACTACTTATAAGTAGCTCACGCCACACTATGAATAGGTAACGTAATCCACTTCTTACTATCATTTCGAAATTATACAGTTTTATGAATTGATGTCACTGATAGTTTACACTACATTTTGAATGATAAGTTCTTTCTTTAACTACTAAAAAAGTTAATGTCTTTAGAACCAAAAAACTAATTATTCCTAAGTCAAATAAAAAAAAGTAAAATGTAAATTTTTACTACTTACAATGTACGTGTAACAATATTGGTTAATGCACCACCTTCTAAATATTCCATAGCTACCCATAATTCATTACCGATTAAATAAGAACCAAACATTTCAACAATATTTGGATGAGGATAAGTTCGCATAATGATTACCTTTTGGTATGAATAAAAATGAAAGGGGGATATATTTTTTTTTAAAGGCTGTTAAAAATAGTACATCAATATAATAGACCACAATTGAGAATCAGTGAGAATTGTAAACGAAGTGAAGTGCAAATGAAGTGTACATTTGATGGCTGAAACATCACTAAAGGAAACTTGAACTGTGAACTTATGAATGAAAAGCATTATGACGATGTGATGCCTCCCTCTAAACAAGGAGTAGTTGATTCTCAGTGAGCTTGTTTTTTAATGTGGACTGACACTATACTTCCCTTTCTCTGTGGCTACCCAGTTTTATTTCGATTTGTGATGCGATGATTTTTCCACAAAATTGTGGCGAAAGTTTCCTTACATCAATATTCGCATAACCTTTTAATAACACTTTACTTGTATACGTTGACCTAAAATTGTTTCCTATGATTATTGTTGAAAAGACATTAAATACCGCCTTATACAGCGATACACATTAATGCGATTGTAGGAAGCAATGACACCAGCAAACTCAGAGGAATATGACTAGAGTTGATAAGCAGACACTGTTCACTTACTCCAGAGACTAGGTGTAGTGAAAACAACCGTGATAATGAAGTGAAAATCAAACAATGGCTAACTAAGATCAATCAGAGTAAGACATTAGTACCACTGGGTGCCGACCAAGTGGTCCAGATGTTAGGCGTTTATGCGCGATACCGAAAGTCCCGGGTTCAAATCCTGTGAGGTGCAGGATTTGTGGATATGCACTACTGATGAGTCCCATACCAGAACGAAACAGCCGTCTTTCAGTGCTTCCAGGTTTCTTATGGTGTGATCTAACAATGATTGATTGATTGATGAATTCAAATGTGTAACTGAGTCATTCTTTCGGATCATAGATATGTTCACAATCAATACATACATATAACTATACCGATGTTAATGGCTACAATGGTCTCTACATGATACTTTATTTCGACTACTATATACCTCATTTTTCTCACTCTGTAAAAACTTGTTTTGAAGCACAGTTTTACGTGGTTTCATTATCGCTTAACAAATCATGGTAAGTGATGTGATATACCATTTTACTGTCAAAACGTTATCACTGTTTGAAACCAGTTAGTCAACATTAGGAAGGTTAGTCATTTACTAATTCACTCATGCCCTTATCTACTACGAAATATTCATCCATGTTTAGACAGTTATTCTGTTTGACTAGCTAGAATGGTACTCATCTATAAAGTTTGGTGTAAAGGAAGCTTCGAAATGAATGTTTTCTAGCTATTCTCACACTACCAGTTGTAATATAACTTTAAACGTCAGACTTATAGTTTCGCATGTTAAAAAAGATGCTATAAATTGCACTCCAATATCCAATATCTTTCTCACAAGCTAGTAAAAACCAGTTGATTTCATCGCGCTCGATTCTCGTTTCTTTCGGTACGGTTCTAGGTGTTGCGTAGAGTCCAATGTATGGTAGTGGTCTAGCCACTCGACCGTCTAATTCTAATCAGTTGACAGTTGGTTGTCAGTTTTGTATGTTCCGTGATTTGAATGAAAACGTTTGTTTCAGGGCAGTAGGGTTTCTAGATACCAGCAGTTATCACATTACCAGACTACAGATCAGTTAGATGCAATGTGTAGAATATTAAGGATAATAAGGATAAAATTCTAATGCTAATATGAATAAAATTTCAGAAACAAGTAATATATAGATGAATTTAGTTTGTTAATTGATAGTGAAGATTGTGCGAGAGGACCGTAGTGCAAGCAAGGGAGAGGAAACAGAGATATTAGGCGAGATAGATTCAGTAAGTGATCTGAGTAGGTGAAAATAATAACAACTAGTAGGTCTCAAGACATGCATCACGCACAGCTTGTCCACGAGGGAAGTGATAATCCGTGTATGAGTACGTGTTTATCAGTGAGGCGACTGTGGTCATCTCAGCTAGGAGAGCATTCCAAGTCGTAAAGTTTCTTAATAAGAAACAATTATCAATAAAATGCTGTTATTAGCCTGAAGTTTATAGAAAAAAATCACTTACTTCATTAAAAAGTAATTCACGTCTTTGTTGTTTGAATATATTCATCTTTTTCACAGCTACATATTGTTTAGTTGGTGAATGATGCATTAAACAAACCACACCAGTACTACCTTTACCAATACGACATATTTCACGTAGATCAGCTCTTGGATCACCTGGTGTGACAATTTTTGCCAATTCATTACGAAACTACAATAAACAATAAAATAGATAATAAGAATTCGTTTGATTAGGATAACATTCATTTCATAGACATTATATTACTGTCATTTAAAAATGATTAAATGAATGACATTTGGTGCCACTGCCTGCTCGAAGGAAGGAGCTCCCGTGGCCGGAGGAGTTGGAGGGCGGAGATTTGCGGAGCTTCCTGGAGGAGTTTGAGGCCGCGGTGAAGCTAGTGGGGGGCCCGGAGAGGAGTTGGCGGTGCTGGGGACGCTGCGGGGAGGTGAGACGGAGGCGGTATATGACAGCCTGGACGGTGCCGCCGGGAAGACGACGTGGGAGACGGTCACGGATCGAATAGTGACGGAGTTCGTCGGCCCAGTGGACAGGGAGGAGGCGCCGGTTGGAGAGGCTGTCGGCTGATGGTGACCCGTTGGTGCTGGCTGTGGACCTCACGATGTTGCAAAGCCTTACGCTGCCGAGTGTGGATGGGGAGTCGGGGGCACAGTTGTTGGCGTCGCAATTTATCGAGAGTGTGCCTGCCGCCGTGTCCCAGCAGCGGGAACTAGTAACCGCTACACGCTGGATAGATGCCGTACCCATTCCAGACCAGAGGGCAAGAACAATGACCGAAGTAGTAATCCGGCATATTGAAGCGCGTCACGGAATACGGAAGGTGATATTAACTGACCAGGGTCCCTGTTTTGAAAGTGACGAGTTTAAAGCCCGTCTAAAGCAGTTTGGCGTCAAAAGGATACGAACTACACCGTATCATCCGCAGATAAACGGGCTTACGGAGAGAAGACAAGAAGAAGCGCGTAAATGCTAGATGGTCAAGTGCATGAGTCACGAAAAGCACCAACGATGACAACGGTACGGCGACAGCTTATTAAAAGGGGGGACGAGTGTGGTGCGAGCTTTTTATAATTAGTATATGACGTGAGTGTCAACGTAATGTCTGGCGGCAGAAAGTGGGGGAAGATCAAAAAAGGATGAGTTAGAACACAATGGAATTTGTATGAAACGCATGAATAGTGACAATGGATTGATGTTTTGCAACAGGAACAGTCCAGTTCGATATGATGAACTGATATTTTACAAATTACCGATTTACGATATGGTTTTCCGATTTTACTGAGTAACTCTGTAATTTTCGTTAAATACAATTCGGTTGCCCCACCTGTGTTCTCGTTCACTATATTCACTACATACGTCTGAGAAAGCAATTATCACACTAGGAGGTTGTGTAGATTGTTAAGTTAGACATTTGAAATCATGAATCGATCAGAGTTAGATCACACCATTAGAAACCTGGAAGCACTGAAAGACAGTCGTTTCGTCCTGGTATGGGACTACTCATCAGCAGTGCGCATCCGCGACTGGGTCATCTCGCAGGATTCGAACCCAGGACCTTATGTCTTGCGCGCAAACGCCTAACCTTCTGCACCACTGAGCCGGTATCTAACGGTGTTAATGTCAAGCTTTGATCAATTCACGCAACGTCATTCATTGTCTTCGGTAGTTACTGTCTACACACAAACAGGTTGAACTTCACTGGTTTAGACTTCTCACTAGAGCACGGAGAAGATTTCTCACGGAGCTAGCCACTAGTGAGCACAGGGGTAGTGAAGATTGTCAAGTTATACATTTGAAATCATGACGAGTCCAATATCAGAACGAAACGGCCGTTTAGTGCTTCCAAGTTTTTAACGGCGGCCTAACTCTGATCCATTCATCATTTCAAATGTGTAAGCAGTCATTCTAAATAATACATTTAGAAAATTTTATTTATGTGCTACTAAAACATTATGATAGAATAATTAAAACAATATTCTGTGACTAACGACTGATTCCTCCTATTAAAACATCTTGTACCTATGTGATACGTTATCAGTATTTTACTATTCCAGTCTACAAGCATAGTATACAATCGTAGGTACGAAAATGCACCAGTTCTGTATTTTAATGAATAGGCATCAAATATCTCAGAAGCCGAATCTTTATCCTTGTGAATTTACTCGATTTAGTGTGTGAATCGTATTTTGATAGTAACATATCTTTGAAAACTTTCACATAGAGCCGTATGTTTGAATTCGAGCAGAAGGAGATAGTGGACACCGTGAAATGTTGTGTTTGTGTAGTTATGGTTATCGTATAAATTTCAAGAATATTGAGATAGTTGGTGGACTCATGCTAATACTACTTCGAATCTCCCTCGTGCTATATACAGAGATTCAAACTGATAACAAGCAACTGACATGACGTGATTTTTCAACGTCACTGCCTTATTCATTTGAATCGAACCAAGTTCAGTGAACGAGGCTTTATCTTTTCATCTCTCAAATAACATAGATCTCACATAATACACCAAACTTCAAATGAACAGTTTATTAGGACTCATAGATTAATTTATGACTAGATATTTCCAGTTATCATTCATCAATATATCGATCACTAGGACTCACAAACAACAACTAAAGACTGAAACATGTCGAAATCCAACCCCACACATTAGTATAAATACGAGAAGGTAATATCTGATGACTATCCTTCAGAAGAACAGCTATCGACACGACTTCATCATAAATTATCAACCTAACTAATCAGCAAAAGAAAATTCAAGTACGGTAACCAATCAACAGAATGACCTACCAAACGAAGAATACGTCGGAAATTACAATAAGATTGCTGAAACGGTTTGAAACAGGTGTAGTACATTAACCAACAAATCTGTAAAAACACAAACCTCCAAAACTCTGCCCGAAAATATCGTAACAGTGCTAACTAGTGACTGGCTTCGTGAGG